CTGAGTACTTATTTGTATTTCAAATATTTTTCTGTGAGTGGGAAACTAAAGAGGAATCACAAATCGATGTTGAATAATTGAGACATAAAATCCCGCAAAAGCGTTATATATCAAAGTTCAAATGTCGCCGCATATCGCATAATATGGTATATTATACTATACAACGGCCAATTGTACAAGAAATACTGATAATTTACTCATCCCTCCTGGTTGCTATAATCTAACATAATATAAAATAATCCAACAGCTCATAGTTATTAAATTTCAGTTTCATTCGAACGGCAAAACGCAGTCAAATGGCAACACGCTGGATATGTTGAATCGCGCGCGCAACTCGCGCGGACATATCAAGTCAGCGTGGGCAGAGCCAACAAGAGCCAGGCATTAAATTAACCGGCCTGAGGAATGTATTTCGACATCCACGGTTTTTCCGAAAACATAACCCCGCTGTGGATCTTCGTTAATTTCATACCATGATCCAGACAAAATTTTAAATTTCTGTAATGTAATACATACTTTGTCTTGTTCCTCAGGTTAGGAGCAAGCTTTCGTGTATTACTCCCGGTCAGTATCCTTTCGGGAGCAAGCGGAAGATCGTTGTGAAGGTCGTGAAGATCGGGAGGATATTCCAAATCTACTTTTAGGAAACATCCTTTTCCCGTCGGAAGTCGGTTCCACTTTTTCAATGTTTCCTCCTCCATCCATTCAAAGTTGGCGTAAGGTAAGGACTGATTCATCGCCCATCCGTACAAATTGTTCGCATCCAAATAGGGGATGAATGTGGACGGTTCCTCATCCTTGCGACGAATAGAACTTAACCACCTCGTAAGATTTTTGTTCAGGTACGTGTTGATAAATTCTACATCCGCATCGCTATAATTTTTTAAAAGATCCTCCAGTTCATCTTCGAACGCATCCAACTTCTCCCAGAAATTTTTGGGATCGCCCCGTATAGTGGAATCTAATTTTTTCAAGGAATCTATAACACCTTCAGGCATTAACCGGCCTGAGAGTTGCCATGAATTTAAAGATTTTATTCCTTTCGTGAATCCGATCTTTATTCGACCGTCGGGAAATTCTTCGACGGATAATCCTTGTTCTTCCATCGTCTTTCGTAATTTTTTAAAAGTCCAGTATCCTTCGTCCAACACGACTTTTTTCCCATCGATGGAAAAATAATCATTGTATACCTTCCGAATATTTTGATAATTCCAAAAGACGGCGGCGTTTTCACGTAAAGTTTTGATGCATGTGAATGCATCAGCGGATTTTGTAAATTTATCGTAGTTTCTCCATTTTCGACGTACACTGTAATCTTCCTCATGGTTACCTTTATTCTTTTTTCCAAAGAAGAATAAAGTGGGATTACCATTGGATTTAGGTTTACGCGAACTTTATTTCAATGTCAACGGCGGATACATGTCGATGGAAAAATTATACCGGGATGCGAAAGAAGAAGGGATCGAAGGAGTCACGCGAAAAAATGTGAAGGAATGGTTGCAAACTGAAAATACGTACATCGTTCATAAACCGATCAGAAAACATTTTAAAACTCAACGAACTTACGTCGACGGACTCGCACAACAAATCCAAATGGATCTTGTGGACATGCAGAAATACGGTAGTAAAAGGAAAAGAAATGGGGAAGTAACTGGATTTTAACGGTGATCGAAATTCTAAGTCGGTATGCTTTTGCCGTTCCCATTCATAGGAAAAATACCGAAAGTATGACGAAAGCTGTCGAATAGGTTCTCGTCCAATTCAAAGAAAGATTTGGAAGATATCCAAAAACGGCCCAATTCGACGATGGAAAAGAATTTTATAATTTCGGTGTGATTACGCTATTGGAAAACATGACATTCATCATTTTTCGACGAGGATCGATAAAAAAGCGGCGATCGTCGAAAGATTCAACAGAACCTTAAAAACAAGAATGTGGAAATATTTTACGGAAAATAAGACGATCGTCTGGGTAGATGTCTTGCCGGATTTCGTTGGGTAGATGTCTTTCGTTGAGTAGATCGTCTGGGTAGATGTCTTGCCGGATTTCGTTTCCGGATTTCGATTTAGTTGACCTGATTGACATTTATCAATTACAGCAACACATACAGTGTCCCACGAGAATTACTAGTACAACAGCATCACTACTGGATGTTATCCTCACTTATTATGGTGATGATAAAATATTAGATACAGGAGTAATACA